ATAAAAAGCGGAAAAGGAAACATTGGGGGAAGTTAGGGCTTAAAATGGTTTTCTCAAAGATTAAAAGGTTGATACATAAAATAGTCAACAAAGATAATGAAGCATAATTCATCAAGTGAACAGTAAAATATCATTCTCTTAAATAAAATTCTTTCACTGAAAAATCTGTTGTATTTGTAGCTTTAAATTTTAACAACTTATTAATTTAAGTAAAAAGAATTCACTTTTTTTTAAATAAAGTTTGAATTTGAGTGATGTAAACAGAGATATAAGTGTTGAAAAGACTTTTTTTATATAAGATTTGATTGATTTAATCTTAAATTAATTAAAATGTAATATAATTTCAAACACTAAAAAATTTATTACCAAAAAATAGATTTATATTGATTATTGTAATTCATATCAAATAAGACTCAAGCATCGGGCTTTTTATTTACATTAATTAATTAGTTGCTACGAGTAAACACTAAAATAAATTCAAATTTTCAAAGATATAAAAACATTAAAGTAAAAGAGATTGCTGAATGCAGTTAGTGCCAATGTTTTTGGACCCGGCCCGGCTCGATCGGTTGAACCAGTTGAACCGGATCGGGCCTGAAAACGGGCGGGTTGAAGGCTTCAGCCCGTTTAGGTGAATGGCCCATTAAAACCCGTTGACACCCGGCAAGCCCGTCGTGTCCGCTGAACCCGTGTGACCCACCATGCTCGCCCGGGCTGAAATTTTTAGTTTTTCACCATCTTTTTAATTTTAAGTTTTTGTCTTTTGACTTAAATTAAAGTTTAAAACCTAAATTAAAAATCAATTAAACTAATTAACTAAGTAAAAACTAAAAACTAAAAACCCTAAGAATCTAAAATCATCAACAGCTCGGGACAGTGGAAACTGGAAAGTTTGGAAACAAATTGCAAAACCCAGATTCAGGAGGAACCAAGTACCAACAGAACTGCAGAAGGGTCTTCCGCCGATCGTCCGCCACTCCGTCGATCTTCTCTTCGTCGATCGTCCGCCGATTTCTCTTCCACCGATCGTCCGTCGATCTTCTTCTCTGTCACTGCACTTCTTCTCTTTCGTCGATCTTCACCATCTACCTCATCTGATTGGCTCAAAACAGAACAGATCATCTTCGGGAAAGTGGTTTCTCTCCTCTGCTGAGCACCTCCTCCTCATCTCCTCTGTTGACTGCTGATCACCTCCTCCTTCCTCACTGGACTGAAACAGCAAAGCAAAACAAAAGTCACACTGTTGCAGAACATACCATCTCCTCCATCGCTGCCCTCCTTCTCTTCCTCATCTCCTCTGTCGGTGCCCTTCTTCTCTCTGCTCCACCGAACAGAAGCAGCAACGGAAATCAGAAACTTCCTCGTCATTCACTCAAAATAGAGTAAAACTAACCTACAACAATAAAATTCAATAAAAATGTCAAAAAAAAAAAATTTTAAGTGAACCGGTTCAACCGGTTGACCCGGACCCGATGGTCAAAACGGACCAGCCACCGGGCCGGGTTCAAAAACATTGGTTAGTGCTCCAATTTTCATTAACCTGACTGTTTAAGTATATTTTTATTTTAATTAAAAAAAGTAAACAAAAATAAAAAAAATAAATAAAAGAGAACCAATAAAAAGAGGAGTCTTCATGGACCCGCACCTA